TCTAGAGAAAGAAAGATCATCAATGCTACCTTGATCTCACCGAAGAGACAAAAACAAAACAAAACACAATATTACAAATCCCTCTGGTCTAGAATCATTTTGTCTAGGAGAGGAATAATAATACTATCAACTTTGTCTACCCATCTCAGAAACAGCTGCAGCTTAACAATGCTTCCATACATTCGCTGCTTCATAATTTCAGACATATGGTCACAGCACACTTACACATCCTGGGTACAAAGACAAGCATTGTGTAAAGTAAAAGACAAGGAGCTTGCAGGTCACCAATGCAAGACAACTATACTACAGTTGCTGACTCAGTAGCTATCAAAAGGGAGCAAAAGGCAATGTGGTTTCAGGATCTTTTCCTCATAAACCAGGAAATTTTCTGCCAAGGGCTAAAACCCCACAGGGAGTACTTCTTATGGAATGGACTGATGCAGTGAGTCCAAGTAATGGGGACAAATATTCTGTTTTTCATTGCAATACACTCCTCTTTTTCTTCTTCCACTTTTTAAAAAGATCCTCTTACTTCTTTTGTAGGAAACAGGTGACGGGGAAGGAATAGATACACTAAAAACACATCTACATTAATCGCCTGCAAAGAATTTTCAAAATAGATAGGACCTAAAGCAGGGGTGTAAAACTTGATTTCATTGAGGGTTGCATCAGGGTTGTGTTTGACCTTGGGGGGGGGCAGGGGGCGTGGTCAGGGGGTGTGACCAGCTCAATGTCATTCATTGAGACTCCGTTTTTAGCCGCGATGGCCTCCTGCAGACCTCTGCCAGCAAAAACTGAGCACGTGGCCTGCCCAGGCTCTGTTTTCGGCCACAATGGCCTCCTGCAGCCTTCTGCCAGTGAAAATGGAGATCCCCGAGGTCCATTTTTGCTGGCATAGGGCTGCAAGAGGCTGTCGCGGCTGAAAATGGAGCCCGGGAGGGTCGCGTGTGGCCCTCCCAAGCTCCGTTTTTACTGGCAGAGGCACCACAGGCCAGTCCTTCACTGTTTTCAGGGTGGCCCTGCGGGCCAGATCTAAGCACTCCACAGGCCAGATCCACCCCACAAGCCTTGAGTTTGACACCCCTGGCCTAAAACTTTGGTATACTTACCCCACCTATAAAGCTGCACATTCTGGATCGTGATCTTTCAAACTGAACCCAAGCTAATGTCCAATTACCTCATCTGATGCCTACCACTCTAAAGTTTACAATACAAGTGGCCCTTGGGTTACAACCATTAATTCAGCGACTGTTCAATACTGATGAACGAGTAGTATTTATGACTGGTCCTTGAAGATCCGGCTGTTCCAGCACGCCACCCCCCCCCGCCACCATCACGTGCATGCAGTTTGGACACTTGGCAAACCAGCTCACAATTATGATGGTTTCAGTATCCCACAGTCACATGATCTCCATTTGTGACCTTCCCTGCTGGCTTTCCATAAGCAAAAACTATGGGGAAGCTGGCAGGGAAGTTTGCTCCTGCTGCTTTTTTCCCCCTGAGGAATCCTACAACAGCGTTAGGGATTCCAGGGATATTGTACTCCATAACATCCATCCTGCACTCTGTTCACGTAGTCCTCGACTTATGACCACAATTGAGCCCAACATTTCTATTGCTAAGTGAAACATTTGTTGTTGAGTTTTGCCCTTTTTTTTAATGACCTTCCTTGCCACAGTTGTTAAGTGAATCGCTGCAGTTCTTACGTTAGTAACACAGTGGTTAAGTGGATCTAGCTTTCCCATTTGACTTTGCTTGTCAGGAGGTCGCAAAAGGTGATCACATGACCCAGAGACACTGCAACCGTCATAAATATGAGTCAGCTGGCAAGCCTCTGAATTTTGTCCACGTGGCCATGGGGACTCTGCAATGGTTGTAAGTGTGAAAAATGGTCATAAGTCACTGCTTTCAGTGCTATTGTAACTTAAAACAATCACTAAATGAACTGTTGTAAGTCAAGGACTATCTGTACTACCTGTAGTGCCCAGCAGCTACTCACCACCTTGTCTACTTGCACTCTGTAGCATATATCTGCCCACAGGACCACCCACTCAGTCACAGCCCCTGCAGAGCCACCTGTAGGCATTGCAGACCTCCCTGAGCTCCATAACACCTACCCACAGTAAAAAACAACAACCATCAAGTAGGAGGTTTTGCTAATTAAGGCTCTGCATTTTATCCATATTCAAAGACATATATGCCCACCACAAGAAAAGGAATTAGCTACACAGGAGAGTGTTAAATTTATATTTACTGACACAAAATAGTTTGTCGTGAAAGCGACTGCCTGCGAAGGCTCCTGGATTGGGGCTGAAAGGCGAAAGGGAAACCGTATGCTCCTCCCCTTATTTGGGTAGATCAGGTTGCAAAAACACATCTACACAGAAGAGGTAACTATGGATATAATTGACCCTTCTAACCTTATCTCATTACATTACATTTTATTTTATGTTAAAGTCACTGTATTATTTTATAAAAATCTTCTCAGCAAGTTAAAAAAAACAGGCTTAATTTGGTGAACATACCTAATTCAATACTTCCCACACAAGGCAGACTATGGCCCGACTATACTTCAACATTTGTACCATTCCGAGTCCCAAAATTCTCCCATAAAATAATATTTACAAAAATGCCTGAGAGAGGGAAAAGCATACAGTTGCAAGAAAAAGTATGTGAACTCCTTGGGATTACGTGGAGTTTTGCATGAATTGGTCAAAAAATGTGCTCTGAACTTCATCTAAGTCACAACAATAGAACAACACAGTCTGCTTAAAATGATACTACACAAACATTAGATGTTGCCATGGTTTAATTGAACATAACATGTAAATATTCACAGTGCAGGGAGGAAAAAGTATGTGAGCCCCTAGCCCAATGACTTCTCCAAGAGCTAATTGGAGCCAGCAGTGAGCCAACCTTGACTCCAATCAGTGTGATGATACTGGATGTGTTGCTGACAGCTGTCCTGCCCTTTAAAAACACACACCTGTTTTGGGTTTACTGGTTTCAAGAAGCACTGTCTGATGTGAACCATGCCTCGCAGAAAAGAGCTCTCAGAAGACCTACGATCAAGAATTGTTGACTTGCATGAAGCTGGAAAGGGTTACAAAAGTATCTCCAAAAGCCTTGATGTTCATGTGTCCACTGTAAGACAGTCTACAAATGGAGAAAGTTTAGCACTGTTGCTACTCTCCCTAGGCGTGGTCGTCCTGTAAAAATGACTGCAAGAGCACAGCGCAGAATGCTTCATGAGGTAAAGAAGAATCCTAGAGTGTCAGCTAAAGACCTACAGAAATCTCTGGCACATGCTAACATTTTTGTTGACACATCTACAATAAGGAAAACATTAAACAAGAATGGACTACATGGGAGGACACCACGGAGGAAGCCATTGCTGTCCAAAAAAAATATTGCAGCATATTTGAAGTTTGCAAAAGAGTACCTGGATGTTCCATAGCACTACTGGCAAAATATATTGTGGACAGATGAAACCAAAATTGAGTTGTTTGGGAAGAACACACGACACTATGTGGGGAGAAAAAAAGGCACAGCACACCAACATCAAAACCTCATCCCCACTGTAAAACATGGCGGAGGGAGCATCATGGTTTGGGGCTGCTTTGCTGCCTCAGGGCCTGGACGGATTGTTGTCATTGATGGGAAAATGAATTTCAGAGTTTATCAAGACATTTTGCAGGAAAACATACGACCATCTGTCCGCCAACTGAAGCTCCGCAGAGGATGGGTGATGCAACAGGACAATGACCCAAAGCATACAAGTAATTCAACAAAAAAATGGCTTCAACAGCACAGAATACGCCTTCTGGAGTGGCCCAGTCAGAGTCCTGACCTCAACCCGATTGAAATGCTGTGGCATGACCTTAAGAGAGCGATTCACACCAGACATCCCAAGAATATTGCTACACTGAAACAGTTTTGTGAAGAGGAGTGGTCCAAAATTACTCCAGATCGTTGTGCAGGTCTGATCTGCAACTACAGGAAACGTTTGGTTGAGGTTATTGCTGCCAAAGGAGGGTCAACCAGTTATTAAGTCCAAAGGTTCACATACTTTTTCCTCCCTGCACTGTGAATGTTTACATGTTATGTTCAATTAAACCATGGCAACATCTAATGTTTGTGTAGTATTATTTTAAGCAGACTGTGTTGTTCTATTGTTGTGACTTAGATGAAGTTCAGAGCACATTTTATGACCAATTCATGCAAAACTCCACGTAATCCCAAGGGGTTCACATACTTTTTCTTGCAACTGTATATCACGGCAGTAATCATGGGGAAAAGGCATTCTAGGGAAATTGCATGCAAAAATACATTATCAGACAAGATTGCATGCAGAAATCCATACATTAGAAGAGTTACATGTTTAAATTTGAGTAGTGGCTTTTTTAAAAAAAAAAACTCAGTGCAGAAGCAGGATCAAACAAATATAAGGGGTGAGAAATGAATGAACCCAAAACTGATCATTTTCCCTATCCTGAATAACAGACCTGGTGGTATACCAATACAGGCAATCCTCAACTTACAACAATTCATTTAGTGACCGTTTGAAGTTACGACACTAAAAAATGTGACCTATGACCATTTTTCACAGTTATGACCATTGCAGCATCCCCATGATTGTGTGATAAAAATTCAAACGCTGACAACTGACTCATATTTATGACGGTTGCGGTATTCTGGGGTCCTGTGATCACCTTTTGCGACCTTCTGACAAGCAAAGTCAATGGGGAAGCCAGATTCACTTAACAACCATGTCACTAGCTTAACAACTACAACGATCCACTTAACCTCTATGGCAAGAAAGATTGTAAAATGCAGCAAAACTCACAACAAATGGTTCACTTAGCAACAGAAAATTGGGGTTCAATTGTGATTGTAAGTTGAGGACTACCCGTATTGATAAGTCTCTAGCTGTGCACTGATTTGTATGCAATAATCTGAGATTATTAGTTAAAATTTGCTGTTCAAAGCAAAATACATACCAAAGAAATGTCTGTGCTTTGGCAAATTTCTTGCAGTTGGACGATGCTCTTAGTTGTTTCCAGGAGCCACGGGATGCCTCATTTCTGGCCCTCAGAAAATAAGTGAATTAATGATAACAGGAATGGAAAGGAGCAGGAATGTTTCAGGAGGTTTAAAAGAGCAAAATGATTGCCTTTTATATTCTTCCCAGAAGTAGTAGTAGAAAAATGGGCTTTTTCAAGATATTCAATGAAGCTTGTATAATTTAACTTGAAAACAGCCCCATTTTTCAAGGGGTTGTTTTAAAGAATGAAGCAAGTCCCTTAAGTCTTGCTAGACATGTACAGGTTGTCTTCAACTTATAACAGTTCATTTAGTGACCATTCAAAATTACGACAGCACTGAAAAAAGTGAGCTACCACCATTTTTCACACTTATGACCGTTGGAGCATCCCCATGGTCGCACAATCAAAATTCAGATACTTGGCAACTGATTCATATTTATGACGTTGCAATGTCCCGGGATCATGTGATCCCCTTTTGTGATCTGCTGACAAGCAAAGTAAATGGAGGAAGCCAGATTCACTTAACAACGATAAAGGTAAAGATTCCCCTCATACATATGTGCTAGTCGTTCCCAACTCCAGGGGGCGGTGCTCATCTCCATTTCAAAGCTGAAGAGCCAGCGTTGTCCCAAGATGTCTCTGTGGTCATGTGGCCGGCATAACTAAACGTCAAAGGCGCACGGAACACTGTTACCTTCCCACCAAAGGTGGTCCCTATTTTTCTACTTGCATTTTTTACGTGCTTTTGAACTGCTACATTGGCAGAAGCTGGGACAAGTAAGGGGAGCTCACCCCGTTACACGGCACTAGGAATTTGAACCGCTGAACTGCCGACCTTTCGATTGACAAGCTCAACGTCTTAGCCACTGAGCCACCACATCCCTTCAACAACAGTATTACTAACTTACAGTAGCTATAGCAATTCACTTAACAAATGTGGCCACAAAAATAGTAAAGTGGGGCAAAACTCAGTTAACGAATGTTTCACTTAGCATCAGAAATGTTGGGCTCAATTGTGGTTGTAAGTTGAGAACTAACTGTATACAAATTCAATTTTGTCCCTCACCCAGTCCACATTTTCCCAAAGAGTCAAAAATGTTGATTGCTCTACTCCCAAAGCACTTAATTACAGTAATAAACTTAGCCATATAGGTAGGACCCAAGGAAAGTAAAATACTTGTGATATTTTAAAAGAAATTAACGTTACCCCTACAAGACAGGAGGAAAAATAGCTTGCCAAATCTGCCACCATTTTAACCCAATCACCGGTTTAACTTTCTGGTACACTTCTACCATAATAAACAGCATACAACAGAGGTGGGCAACTGTGGCCCTTTTACAACCTGTGGACTTCAACTCCCAGAATTCCTGAGACAGCCAAGCTGGCTCAGGAATTCTGGGAGTTGAAGTCCACAGGTGGCTTAGGAATTCTGGGAGTTGAAGTCCACAGGTTGTAAAAGGGCCACAGTTGCCCTCCCCTGCGCATATAAGATACACTCTGTGTAAAAAATAAAGAAACCCCACCCCCACACTCTCGTGGTAGTTATGTAAACTCTTAGATATGAGGGCATGACATAACATCTATATAACTTAAGAAAAGGTGGACTACATTAACCAATATGACAATAAATCAGAAATCAAGTTGTCTCAGCCAATCTCATTGTACACGTGTTGTGCTTTGACAATAAAGGTTCAGTTGAATTGAATTGAAGTATGCAGAGCTATAGATTCCCCCCACCCCCAGCTCCCACTCCAGCTATATTTTTCATCCATCAATTTTGGTGAGAGTGAGAGTGAGAGTGAGAGTGAGAGTGGGAGTGGGAGTGGGAGAGGGAGAGGGAGAGGGAGAGGGAGAGGGAGAGGGAGAGAGAGAGGGAGAGAGAGGGAGAGAGAGGGAGAGAGAGAGAGAGAGAGAGACCATCTATTCCCACACTTGTAGGTCTGGAGGGGAGAACAGATTAAGCGGTTGAAAGCTTCTCCATCTCCTAGTCCTGGGCCTGCTTCTCATTCATTCCCTTCTCTCCACAGAAGGTGGGGATTAGGAAGCTGGCAAGAGAAAGAAGAGCACCTGACCCTTCTGGGATAATTTGCCTTGGGCCCTCTCAGGAGCTGGACTGAGCTGGGCTAAGCTCCCTGCTGATAGAGTTGGAGGGCTTAACTCTTGAAATCCTTTCTCACAGCAAGGCAAAAGTCCAGCTTCTAATCTACTCAACAGCCAGGTCTCCTTTCTCTTTCAGGATTCCTGGCTCTCAGCCCCATCCAACCCTCTTGTAACTCAGGAGACTTTGGAAAGGGAAAAGAAGGGAAGAGTGGATGAAGGAATGTGGATCTGGAGTCTGGAAAGCTCCACTTTGCACAAAAAATACAATGGGTCACACAATACTGTCACAGAGATCAGCGTGTGAAAACCGAGAGAATGTCAGATCCTAAGACATACTTCCCCTCTTGAAAGAAACAAAAATCATCAATGTATGCATATTCTCTGTTCAATTCATCTTGTTCTTTTTGGTACATTTTTAAATTTCCCTGTTAATAATACTTCCAGCCAGTAAGTTCAAGGTGCCAATGGCAGGTTGACTGCAGCATCCTTTGATTTGGACCCTATCCCAAACTCACAGCATTCTCCCCAAAGCATATAAATATCAAATAGTTACTAAACTGTTGCAAATTACTTCCTCCTTCCCTGACTTCTTTAGAGGAACAGAAAGCAGTATTGTAAGGAATTGGCTATTGTGTCAAAAAACAGGTCACCTATTTTTTTTTTTCAATTTGGACCTCCTGTTTTGAAGTCCCTTCCACTGGGACAGTTAATAATTTTATGAAGGAAATCATAGATAGATTATATAAATCTATAGACCTTATATTGGGATGCAGTGGTTCAGTGGCTAAGATGCTGAGCTTGTCGATCGAAAGGTTGGCAGTTCAGTGGTTCAAATCCCTAGTACCATGTAACAGGGTTAGCTCCTGTTACTTGTCCCAACCTAGCAGTTTGAAAGCATGTAAAAAATGCAAGTAGAAAAACAGGGACCACCTTTGGTGGGAAGTAACAGCGTTCCATGCACCTTTGGCATTTAGTCATGCCGGCCACATGACCACGGAGACATTTTCGGACAGCGCTGGCTCTTCGGCTTTGAAACGGAGATGAGCACCGCCCTCTAGAGTCGGGAACGACTAGCACATATGTGCGAGGGGAACCTTTACCTTTACCTATAGACCTTATAGATTCCCCCCCCCATTTTTAATAACAGTGGTATGTCTTGCTTCCAAGAGATCTGCTGAGGCCTCACGTATTATACGGAGCAGAACCTATACTTCTACTGAAAGTCTTACACTGACAACATCACTGCTTCCAATCCCCTTTTGGACCTTGGAGAACCTGTTTTGGATTGCAGATGCTTCTCAGCTGAGGGCTCAAGTTATGCTATGATATATTGGTCCTTCTGCAAAGGCTCAAGATTCTTGGTTTGATTCGATGTAATAGAGTGGAGCAATTGCTCTGATGTTTCCTTCCCAGTTCTCACAGCTTCTTCTGGTTAAGCCACTTGGGGGGTACAAGGAAGGGTGGGGGGGATACACCAAACTAGGTCAGTCTAGCAAGAATTTATTCCTTGTTTGCCTGCACTGGGCCAGCTATTGCTTTGCGATTAGAAAGAGATCTCAGAAGTTTGAATTTCCAGCAGTGACTGCATTAATCCTGCTAGTCATCGAATTAACAGGAAGCAAAGGCAAGGAATATTCCTTTTCAACCAGGCTTTTCACCCTTCTGATATGTAAGCTTTGGACCCAGAGTGTCCCATTGTTTTGCCCCTGATCAGGCTGGAATGCCTCTCCTACCGTTTTCTGTTTTGTTTCACTCATTCAGTGTTTAATTGGTTCCTGTTTATCCTGCGATAAGAGATGGGTTTTGTCTGCCTGCATATGTGTATGTCACAAATTTGGCATCAGGATCAGTGGCATTTCCTTTGGGACAGATGTTCAAGGGCCTTTACGGCAAAATGGATAGAACAGTCTCCCAAATATAACACATGGATCCTTTATTTTGAAATAAAGTTAATACACCTGTAATAATCAAAAGAGCTTCCTCCTAAGATAATTTGAAGTATAACAACACACACAATCGGTATCTTGCATAAGGCATTCAGAGTCACTGCCTCCAGTGAACAAACTGCACTGCTCATTAAAGTTTGTTCCTAAAGAGATTTTTCTCTCCCAAATAGCACCAAAAGACTTCCAGAAAGGTAAACACATCTCAGGTAAGGAAATGTGTGAACATTTATTGGTGGGATTTCCTTCCCCACTCGGTTGTTTCCAAGTGTGACAGTGAAAAGCTATTAATGGCATGCTTTTTCACTCAAGCTCTGGGGTTCAAGGTAGCTCATGCCAGAGAGCTATTAGTCCAAACCAAGCCACAGCCACCACTTCTTGGCTCTGGACTGGAGGAGGCAGGGAAAGAGGTTACCTACAGAATCTACTTAGAGCAGGGGTCTCCAACCTTGGCAACTTTAAGACTTGTGGGCTTCAATTTTCAGAATTCCTCAGCCAGCTTTGCTGGCTGAGGAATTCTGGGAGTTGAAGTCCACAGGTCTTAAAGTTGCCAAGGTTGGAGACCCCTGACAGAGAACCCTCAAAGTCACCCAAAATGTCACCTGTCTCTCTAATGAAGTCTCTGCCCTCTTGATTCCAGGGGGTAAATCCTCTGTTCTTTGGAGGTCCTTCCCTGTGGGAAAGCACGGCCAACTTGCCCTTATATTATATCCATTCAGAAGGTCACAAAATTGTCTACACACAGGCCATTGTGAAATGTGATCCAGAGAAATCTGCTGGCCTGCCCTGCAAAAGACCGGAATGGTGCTGGAGCACAATTTGAAAGGGTTGGCCTGCAGAGGAAGGAAAAGTTAAATACTTCCCCCAGCTGAGTTTGTATCCTGCCCCTTTCTCACCCTGTGGACATTCCCTCAGGCATTGAAATAGGCCTTTCTGGGCCACAATCTTGCTGTGGATCCCAGAAGTGCCCAGCAAATTCCTGTCTTTCTTTGCCAAGGTCTCATCCGTAAAATGGGAACATCAGGGGCAAAAAAAAAAAAAAGGTACTTTACAGAAATACACCACGCATTACCTGCTTTAAAATGAAGGACAGGCTCTTAATCCAAGCCCTTTCCTGATCCCTGACCCTACCCTCACCCCACCAACTCCTTCAAAGCTTGACTCAAAGCTAGCAAATTCCCATGGAGGCCAAAGGTCCCCCTGGCCCAATTCTGCCCCCTTTGTGTAGTTTCAATCTCCTCCCCCTCTCCCCAGGCCCCAAGAGCATGGATGTAGTTGTAACACACCACCTCCCTCCCGGGGCTCAATGGATGATCTGTAGTTTTCGCTCCCCCACCCCTTGCAAACTTTTTAAGGTGGGAGGGATGGAAACTACAATAGGAGCAGCCACCCTCCCGCCTCCCAAGACTCCCCGTTGTCTCTGCCCAAATCCTGGGCAGGATTCCTTACCATTTGCTTCTCCTTGAGACGGCGCCGATTTATTTATTTATTTGTTGTTGTTGTCCCCCTCTGGATAAGCGAGTTGACTTTGATTTTTCTGCCATCCAGAGCTCGGCTGAGCAGGAGAAAAGAAGAGGTGTGCGTGTGTGTGTGTGTGTGTGTGTAGCAGCCGGCGGGCGGCCGAGGATCTTCACTCCCAGCACCGACCCCATCTCCCATTCGGGAAGGGAGCTTTCTTCGATCTCATCTTGAGGGCGCTGGGTGGGCTCCGGCCGAGGAAAATCCACCCTTCCTCGGGGTTTCGATCAGGCAAACGAAACGAGGCGGGGGATCGGGGAGGCGACCATAGAAGGCGGCGGGAGAGAGGGAGGGTGTGTATGTGTGTGTGTGTGTGTGTGTGTGTTGTGGGGGGGGAGTGCGGTTATTGTTTGTTTACCTCCTCGCGTCCTGTCCCTGACGGCTCCTCATTCCCCCCTCGCCGCGGTGCCTGTCTGTCTGTGTTATGTCTCCCGCTTTCGCGCACACACATAACGCGCAGAGGCCGGCTGTAGCGTAGCGTGGCTGTCGGCTGCACACCTCCAGCTTATGGTGTGGTGTGGTGTCTCGGGGTGTGTGTGTGTGTGAGCGCGCGTTATTCTCCCCGACGTCTGCCTTAACCCTTCGGCGGCTGGAAGGAGATCCGCATACAGCCGTGCTGTACCGGGCGTGCTTGGCGGACGGGGAGGCGGGGAGGGGGCTTCCCTTCCTTCAAAGGAAGCGATCGCGCGAGGGAAAGAAGAGCGGAGGGTCGAGACTCAGCGGGGCGGGGGCTTAAGGCGCCCCTCCTCTTTCGCACCTCTTTCGTCTTTTATCTCCCACGAGTGCGGGTGGGAAGGAAGAGGGCAGGCGGGGGTTTGTTACCCGGGGCGGAGGAGAAAAAGGGGGCCTGCTGCATATGCTCAGAGGCTCTCTCTTCCTTTCAGTTTTGACCACCTGGGAATTGCCGTCGTTGGATTGTGTGTGTGTGTGTGTGTGTTTTAAAGGGGCACAAGCCAACCATTATTAAATATTTGCAGAAATCTGCAAATATTTTATCTGGGAAGTCCGGGGCGCTTTCCTCAAACAGTTTCCAGTTTCTTGTAAAAGCCATTTATTCACGGTAGTGCTGTCCTGGTCCCCAGCCCTAAATGTAAGCTTTTCTCTCCCCCCAATCTTCCCGAAGATGATTTTTCCTCCTTAAGCCAAGAGAGTCCTGCCACAAAGAGAAGATGAGGAGAGGTCAGGTGACCCGTTGGGTGTGACCAGAATTTTATCTTGGGTAACCGGGAAAGTGTGGTCAACCTGGTTATAGGCCAGTCTTTGGCCTAAAGCTATTGCCAACCAACTCTTTATAACCTTTTTGGTTAGTAAGAAGCGGTGATCACAAGAAGGAGGGTACAACCAAAACAACCTGATCTCTGACAATGAGGGAATGAGACTCCATTCACTGTGTATCTTTTTCATGGGTTTGAGCAGAGGTGGGTTTCAGCAGTTTCTGACCAGTTCTGGAGAACCAGCAGCAGAAATTTTGAGTAGTTTGGAGAACCTGTAGTAAAAATTCGGACTGGCCCTGTCCCCATCTATTCTCTGCCTCCCAAATCCCAGCTGATCAGGAGGAAATGGGAATTTTGCAGTAAACTTCCCCTGGAGTGGGGTGGGAATGGAGATTTTACAGTATCCTTCCCCTGCCACGCCCACCAAGCCATGACACACCCACCAAGCCACACCCACAGAACTGGTAATAAAAAATTTTGAAACCCACCACTGGGTTTGAGATATGATGTGCCTTTGAAATTTCTTTCACTGGATGGACAAGCCATTGGTCCTTCTGTTCACAGATGTGCGCTAAGCCAAAGTGGGATTCATTTATTTTACCTTGATTGGTAAGTGAATGTTAACTATTATTAGTTATCTATCTAATCAACTCTAGGCAGCAAACATACTGCACCTAAAATGCTTTCTATTTTCCCTACAACAACCCTGTGAGGTGGGTTGAAAGAGACAGACTGGCCCAAAGCTACCCAGCTGGCTTTCACTGGACTAGGACTCCGTCTCCTTTGCCATTACACAAAACTGGCTCTCAGTTATGGTATGTTATGTTTGAATCAGATCATGGCTTATTTAGCACATCATAGCTTAAAAATCATGGTTTTTGTTCCACATGATAGCAGCATCTGACATTTCTCTTTCTGCAGAAGAGGGTTATAGTTTGTAAGTCTAGGAATCCAGTCATTCTCCAAGAATGTTCCATGTGAGTCAAGCCATCATTTTCATTTATTTTAGAACAATATTTTAAGTGAGTCCGGTACTTATGATCTGTTAATCCGGATTTCAGGTTTCATGTATGGTGTGAATTCAATCTAGCATGTCTGAACTGACTCCCCAGGGGTTTTTAAGAAGTTTTAACAAGTTCTGGCATGTAGATGGTCTATTTGCAGGAACCACAAATAAATAGCCATTGCTGTTTAGTCCCAAGTATGTAGAATAATGGGGAACATAAAAGCACTTTTCCAATATTTGAGGGTCTATTACAGGGAACAAGGTGTGGATTTATTCTCCATAGCACTTAAGGGTAGAAAGGTAGGAAAATGGGTAGAAGCTTTAGGAGGGAAATTTTTACTCAAAATGAGGAATTTTCTGACTGAGAATTATTGTGTCAAGCAATGGAACCACCTCTCTACCAAAGTCCTGGGATTCAGTCACTGGAGGTTTTCAAGCAAAGATTGGACAGCCATTGGAGATGACAAATAGGCAGAGCTAGATTAGCAGATCTCCCCTCCAACTGTGTAATTCTATTATCTTATGAAAATGAAGTAATTGGCATATATGGATAAGTCAAGAGCAAATTGCATTCAAAAACAGGAAAAACAAACGGTACCTATGCCTATATGAGTCAGTGCACAGACTTCTAAAAACGTGTTGCACAAAGATGTTTTAATAAAAACACATGCACACAGTATATAGCTCCAGTAACTAGACTAGCTGAAATGTTTTAGTTTATAATCTGACAAATGACTGACATATCAGACATAATGCCCCCAAGGTATCATTGATTACATAGTGTCCCCAAGGCATCATTAGAAGTGGCATAAATGTGCTCTGTAAGATTTTTCCAAGAAGGTATCTTCTCTGTTGGCTATAAATGATGTGAGTTGTAACTCAGCATATCTGGAGGGTCTGTAGTTGGGTGGGTGTGCTGTATAAAACTACATAGGTAGCTGACTATACTCAGTACAATCATGGGCTGAGACAGTTTTCATGTGCATTCTTATTTTAACACATTAGGTAAAGTTCAATACATACGTACGCGAATAAATTTGCAATCCAGCTAGGCACACACAAATACACAAGAATAGTATAATTGTCAGGCAATTAATCTCCAAAGTATAAGGAAAAGTTCCAAGGAAGAGTTCAGTAAATTATTTGTACAATCAATCAAAGTATAATCAATAAATGAATAAAAGAGACACAGGCAAAAGCAAAACACACTGTTAAGTTGTAACCATAGGTAACAGCCTTCCCTACCTTGCTGCCCTTCAGATGTGTTGGACTTTGACTCCCATAATTCCCATCCAGTATCATCAAGTTGTGCCCCAAAATGTCTGAAGGAGAGTTCCATGTTTTTTTTAGATAGGGAAAAGCTACTCTATATTTCTGTGATATATGTGTATATGGTTTTAAAAAAGGTTTATTGAGGAATTTTCACCATCATTTTAATTTTCTGGAAAAAATGTTCCCAGAAAACTCAGAACTCCCACTTTCTCTAAATGTATAACAACTAATGCTATTTTTTGAAAATATTAACCTATCTTTGGCAGGCCAGTAACCACACTGGTATCATGGTTTGTTTACTGTAATGCTTCCTCTGTTGATTTCTGTTGTACTTTCTCCCATGTAAGAGGAGATTACAATAGGATTTCCCCAGTGTATGCTGGATAACTGAAAGTGTTTACAGAAGGGTTCTGCTGGATAATGGGCAGACTAAACATATTTTAAATAAAACAAATATGGATGCAAATGAGTAAATTGGAATTATATTGAAGAAGCTAGTTTACGAGACCATGTTATTTGCGGGACTGCCTATCTCAAATCATTTTTGCCCATCCAATAAGATCTGACAAGGTCAGAACGCTCCAGATCCCATCTCTTAAGCAATGTCATCTTGCAGGAGTCAGGAGACATGACTTTTCTGTCATTTTGTCTGCCTACAAAAAAATCATTCCCCTCAAGATCTAAGCAGCTTCAATCTTGCCTGCCTTTCTGAAGGTCTTAAAGGCATGGCTTTGGGCCAGGGGAATTTGGGTTTCCATCTGATAATATTCTTTTGTCGAATGACTTCGGCAGAATTTGTTCTAATTATTTATTTATTTATATATATATATATATTTATGATGGTTTACTTTTAGCTGTTTATTTAATTGTAAACCTATGCAGCTGACGGAGCAGAAGGGTAATGTGCTGTTTTAGAAGCAGACATAATTGCCTGTACCACTGTATTTTGCACCAGCTGAAGCTTCCAGATACTTTTCAAGGACAGCCCCAGATACAACACATCACAGCCATCCAATTGGGTGGTGACTATGGCTATGAGTAACTGTGACACCCCCACCCCCCAATTCGGGAATGGTGTAACTAGTACATAATATGAAGCCGCACAAAAGCCTTCTCAGTGGAGATCACTTCTTGCTCTTCAAGCAGGAGTTGGGAGTCCAGGAGTACCAAGCCATCTCAAATCCTATTCCTAGAGAAGGCAGATAGAAATCCCCCAAGAGTGTAAGTCAGGCTGGTACAATTGCAACATTCCCAACTAATCCTTAGAGCCCAACTTCATAAACAGGGTCTCACATCCGGTGACCTGTGGGGCAGCACACCTAAAAGCCATAAGGGATTCCTAGATGACAGTCACCAAACCTTAATCCCTGTCCCAGAGTTTTGGCTGATGACATATCTGGAATCCAAGTGAGTATATCTCTTAAAGGACCACCCCTCCTTTCTGGGCCCAGCCAGGTCTCAGTAATACATGCCAGGTTGGCCCTCTCACTGATGATTAGATAGCAGATGGGGGGGGCAGGCTTATTACAAACCATTTAAAAGCAGCAGCTGGAAACTATTTGATCTGGAATTGACAGACTCTTCTTTAACCCATTGTACTCCCAGTAACTATTTCCAGTATGGGAGTTGAGAGCAAGAGGGAATTGCATCTTCACATTATCAGAAAGTAATCAACTATTTTAGTGGCTTTTTCTTAGTACCAATAAAGATTCTTATTGAGCTGAGCCCTAAAGTCTAGGAAGGCTATGCTGAGAATTCAGAAAATTCTGCTGAGCTCTTGCCTACAAGCCCAAGATTCAAGACATAATTCAAAGAAATCTATCCTTTCTGTCAATTTTTTCTCAATGTCAAAACTTTCACAGCTATCCAGTCAATCACTTCATTAGAAATACCAATGGTTTAGTATTCAGATTTTTGTTGTAATAGAAATATACCTACACTTCATTTTGTGTAAGTTGGAAATTTCCTTCCTTACTTCTCTTATTCACTTTTCTGTCACATTGTCCATTTATATCTATTTGAGCCGCCCCCTCCCCCAAAAAACCAAAACTGTGCTATCTTTGTTTTTCATTGATCACTCTGAGTTCACAAAGCATAGTGGCTGACATTTTATTTGTTGTCTCAATATCAAAGGGTTTTCATTTTTATTTATTATTGTATTTAATCATATATTA